CGAGGATACAGGCTATGGTGATGATGAAATAAGACCGATTGGCTCCGATCGATGGAGCAACAGTAATTAGTAATCCAAAGTGGAGAAACAGGAACAGCATATACAACATAACATCGAAAACAATAACAACATTCAGTACCTACGAATACTAAATAAGCGGTAGCGCGATGTACTTAGTGAGTCTGTCTAATTGCGGGAGATCCTCGGTTGTTTCTTCAAGTTCTGTCCGAAACGCTAGGGGAACGGGGCGTTTGACGGTTTGGAGGACAAACTATAAAACTTGAGCCACGTTTAGCCCTCTGAGGACGACCTGGCCGAAAGGTTAGGCTCATAATAAAGTTCCACCTGAAAAGTTCCTCGTTGGCACAGAAAAATATTAGCAATACTGTGTATTTCTAATAGTTGTGCAATTACCTCTATACCGTTGTTTTTCGTCAAGAGTCTCTTCATGTAAGCTCTTTCATAAGTTCTCGTCACTCATGTGATTCTTCTATGAAAGATGATATCCCAATTTGGATCTTTGTTAGTCTATCTAAACACGTGCCTTTTGTGACACGCGTTCCGTATCTTTCGATATTAAGCATTTTCTTCAGACGTTGCCACTCCTTCCGTAACTGCCTTTACATTTTACATGGTCTCAATGCAATATAATCACTCTAGGATTTTCTCAACCCTTGTTGGAAGGTTGAACTCTTCTCTTTGCTGTAGAATTTTGCTTTTTTTCGCAATCCTGAAAGCTGTCTGTGGAATATGAGCATGTTTACAAGCTGCACTAAACAGCGGGCGTCTATTATTTCTCTGCGTACAGTCGTACTTCGGTATGGTACTGTGTTTTGCTTAAAGCAAGTGATATTCTTTTGTTTTACGGGTATAGACCTATTGATTAGTCGTTTAAATGAAGGTCAATCATATTGCTTTATATTCTCTATTGAACATCCTCATTGGTTAACTTTGGCAGTGCAACTTTTTCCTTACTACTGTCACTACAAACATTACTGCTCAGTTTCCAGTTTCTCAGTTTGATTGACTAAATTTTAAATAAATTTAAATATTTTGTTTTTATTTTTGTCAGTGAATATGGTAAATAACCAGTGAAGTACATTGTAAGTGGTATTGATGAAAGTTCCCATTTCATTGCCTTTACCTTTTTCTATTTTCAGTATTTTAGTTCAGTGACTTGATGCGCATATGGATATTTGCTCGAATGAATTAACCTCACCGTTCAAGATTCCGCTCAAAGACAAGGAAAAAGGAAAAGCCTCACCTGCTGTGGCTACCAAGTAGGGTTTTTTCTCATGAATAGAGTGCGTTCATACTTTGCGACAGCGTTTTCAGCGACCAGGAAAGTGTAAGTATCGATCTAGCGTTTTGAGCGATTACGAAAGTATAGATATCGATTATCGTTGAGAACGCTGGCGGCCGCTCAAAGCGCTCGAAACCCTGGTGTACGCTGTGAACACTTGATCGATACCTGTACTTTCCTAGTCGCTCATAAAGCTGCTACGAATGTATGAACGCATTCTTACCCTTCTTTGTCTCCAGCTGGTTTTATACCCCTCTCTTTGAAGGTCACCATTAGCCGAGGCACATGATTCCCGTGAATTCTCCCCGCGGGATATTCAAACGATCAAAATGCGTCAGAGGAAGCGGTAGGTGTTCCTGAGGAACAATTACCAACTTCAGAATAATATTTTATTTCTCAATATTTTTAGCTATGCAGCCGATCAAGCCCGAGAGGCTAAGAAGGCTCGCAAACAACCGGAAACTTCGGTGACGCAGGTTGGTTTTAGGAGCTTGTACGAAGACTAGCTGCACACTCATCTCCTTGAATTCTGTCCTTGCCGTGCGCAGGGAAATGGGCCCGCAGCTGCTTTTTCTCTGGTAAAAAGTTCACAGGAACGGGGCAGAGAGCAGTGATACCCGGTTGCATCTCCATGCTCCGCCTACACCACGCGCCTAACCATAATCGAACGCGCTACTTGTCTGCGCTTTCTCATGTGGTTCCTTGAGAATATACATGCTACCGTAGGTGCTGCCCCATTCAGATCGCATATGGCAAGGGCTGCCCTCTGAGGTGAATGTACAGTTTTCTTTGAATGTTTTGTTTGATCGCGTAAAAGGGAGTGTTTGAGATTCAGATGGTCCTAATCGGGGAGTAGTCGCTTGCTGGCTTGACTCAGCGTTTTGGCGTCGGGTCCATTAGGTTATGGCAGCCTACGTACTCTACCGTGTATTTCACAGCATCATCTCAAAAAAATCAACAGCCGGTAAATTTCAGGCTGTGTATTGTAGTTGATAACGGCTGTTTAACTCGCCGCAGGTACGGGCAAATCCGAGAACTAAGTAATGCGTGAGTTATGGGCAAAAGTGAGGACAACGCGGCGTGGGATTTCGAAACCGCCGCTTCTGGCTTACCGGGCAAGCATTGCGTTCCCTGTTAGCGCGCTATCCGAGACCACTTTGACGCAACTCAGCTCAACGAGTCTATTTGTGGGCATACCTTACAACACTCCACGTTACGTGATGAGCCGGCTAGCCGATATCGGCAGTGAACCGCAAGGCTGAAGGCTTTTTACAAGTTTCTGAGTGGTCAAAAGTGGCCTCGGTAGCGTAATAGGAGAACGCAACTGCCCGGTAAGCAGAAGATGCGGGTTCGAATCCCGTCCGCGGTCCGACTTTTGCCCATAATCAGCATTCTTGAGATAGCCGATGAATTGTTTTTTCTGTTTCTTTTCGGGGAACTGTAGGGGAAGATATAATAGAAGTGAAATAGAAGAAAACAGATTACAAATTGTGAAATTTTTATTAGACATATCCGTGGAATTTTCTTAATGGGACTTAGGTTGCTAATACCTTATTGATTTGACGCCAAAGTTCTGTGACGGCTGATAAGCGCTGTGTATTTGCGGGCAGACGGCAATGGCAGTCTCCTAAATCACCCAGGAACCTGAGCTCGGAAGAATAGCTATCTTTTCAGGACCCGTTGGCTGTGGTGGATAGGATTTGCGGGGAGATGGCGGCTTCACGTGCAAGAAGGGAGCCACCACGACGTGAGGTACGTGAGGTTGTTGAGGAACGACGCCCTCGCGTTCGGTCGTTATCATGACAACACATTGTCACGCGAAGCATTGGAACGACATGCTCTAGATGACACCATGGCTAGAGAGGTAGGTGAAAGCTCGATTTCGAGCATTTCTACTTGTTTCAATTTACTCAAGGTTTCCCTCTTTTCAATAAGTTGCCCTATCCAGTACCTATGTGTCTTCAGTTTGTTCGTCGTGAATCACTTATGGAGCGCTTGTTAGGGCATAAAATGCTTTATGGTCGGCTAGAATCGTATACCTCAATGGGTTATGTAAGGGTAGAACCACCACCTGAGAGCGCTAAGGTGAGTTATGCTTACTTTCTTTCAGTAGCATTGCATTTAACGATACCCTGTTGTGGTAGTATTATAATGTATTTTAAAGACTGAGGACCGAATGGATTTGGGGAGCACGTCGTTCCACGACGAGGACTCGAAGCCCAAACCCCACTAACCCTCGATGCTCTCGCCTTACCTGTTGAAACCCACACACGAAAGCAGCAACGTGGACGCCGAAACCGCTCCTCCAGGCTCACGCACAGGTGAGCTGGCGTTTGACTGCTTTAACGGCAATATTTTCTATTGGAAACTGGCAAAATGGCGTCAACTTTTGTCTTTCAAGGCCGTCCTCGCAACAATCGTCCACCATGAGTTTCAAACCCGACGCGCCACCCTATTCTCACAACCTCCGCACGCACCCTGCAAGGGCGGCAGCTCCCACATGGCAGTCTTTACTAGCAACACATAGGCCGCCGAATGCAGTATATACCGTCAACTAGTCCTTCTCATCAAACATTAGGAGAGATTTGACAAGCGCGAAATGGTTGCACTGTCAATACGGTGAGCTGAAATCTTGTTCAGGTAACATCAGTGACATACTGTGCCTTTCACGCCGTCCGTTGGATGGCGAACCGCTTGCATGAAGACAGGTCAGAGTGAAACTTCTTGAATTGTATTGGATGGCTTATGTTCAGTCCAGCTCAATTCAGTGCTCCCTCTTCATTTCTTATGGGTCGCAGTTACTAGTTTTATTTATTCTCTCTTTCGAATGTTTTTTTTTTCTTTACTTCCCTCGGATTCTTTTGTTTCATTTACGCCTTTCAGTTGTTGCTGTGTTGTTTCTTCTTTTTTCATATGAGCGCGAACCTTGCTCGCGTCCTCAGATAAAGATAAAAAGATAAAATGGGTCCCGCACCTGTGGGGGCTGCGTGCCACTCATTTGTAGTGGCCACCGGAACACGAAGCCGGAGGGCATTGAAATACCGAGTGCCGTCGCCCATATTCCTCCGTCCACCCGCACTGTCTGGCAGCGGCCAAGTTACACGCCTAACCATAACCAAACGCGCTGCTTTTCTGCGCTTCTTCACTTCCGGTTCTCTGCCGTTCAATAGGTGTTTCGTAGGAGGACCTGGGCATCGAGCAAGTGCTGCACTTCGATGATAGCGCGAGCGGAACATGGAGACTGTTCTCTACGACTCAGTACGTATTTCCTAGTGGGATGCCGAGGTCCCGCTACGAAATACGTACTGAGCCGTAGAGAACAACCGTAAATGAGAGAGCGCAGACGAGCAGCGCGTTTGGCTATGTCTAGGCGTATGGCTGGCAGTGCGGCAGCGCAGGCGAAGATGGAGACGGCACTCGGTATCACTTAACTCCAGTCCCGTTCCAGAGCATTTTTAGCGGAGAGGCTGACATACTGTTGCAGCTGCAGACCCGCTCACCTTGCACATGGCAGGGGCCAGTTTTCCTGGGAGTGAGTGTCCAGTTCGTCTTTGAGATGTCTGTTATAGCTGTGGTTTCAGGGAGTACTGTTAGAATCGTTCGTGTCAGCATTGCGTACTGCAACGTCACAGCAACCTTCTGCTACTACTGACCAGGAAAAGGTCCCCCAGTTGGTTACACCCAAGCGGGAAGCTTCCTCAAAGTACATTCTTTCTCTCGCTTTCTTTCGCCCTTTTTTTGTTTTTATTATTTATTGGTCCTCACTCTTGATGCTTTGCTTTTTAAGATCGCTGTCTCGTCGTGAAATCGACACAGATTCGGTGAAGATGGAACTTGTATCAGACTGTTCATTGTCGCCACATTCGCCATCTCGTGTCAATTCACCACTTCAAGCCCCTCCTCCTCCACCAATTATAGCTCCTCCGCCACCTCCTCCAATTTTACCGCCTCCTCCACCAATAACTCTTGCAGGTCCTCCACCACCGCCATCACATCATGTTCCTATGGTAAGTCTTCAGTCTAAGACTGCGTTTATACTTTGTGTAAGCGTATGCCAACGACTAGGAAAGTATAGGTATCGATCTAGGGTACGCCAGCGTATGCAAGCGTACAGCAGCGTTCTCACCGGCATTCAGCCCAAATTGCCCGCGAAAACGCTGGCGTGCGATAGATCGATGTCTATACTTTCCTAGTCACTGGCGTACGCTCGAAATGCTGCCGTACGCTGGGGTACGCTGACGCAAAGTATGAACACAGTCTAAAACATACGAATGTTTATTTGTATTCATATGAGCAACGATTTTACTTTTAGGTGTCTTTTATTCCAATGGCTCCCACATTGCCCGTTCCAAACCTCGCAGTGCCTCCTCAGCCTCCACTGCTTCCACCTCCATTTGCTATTCTTCCTCCAAATTTTGGGTTACCACCGCCTTTACCGGTGTTTTCGGCGCAGGTACCTAACCAGACAACGGCTTCACATTTGGGTGCTTCATCGGCTAGCGCTGCTCCAACGAGTGCTCCTCCTCCACCGTCACAGCCTCCGATGATGCCTCCTCCTCCTCCTAATGTGAACACCATGACGAACGGTCCTCCTCCACCGTCACAGCCTCCAATGATGCATCCACCACCTAATATGAATAGCATGGCGAAAGGTCCTCCTCCACCGTCACAACCTCCGATGATGCCTCCTCCGCCTAATATGAACAACAGCATGACAAGCGGTCCACCCCCACCATCACATCCTCCGATGATGCCTCCACCACCTAACACGAATGCTATGACAAACGCTCCTAATCTCGCTATGCCTCCACCATTTAATTCTGCTCAAACGACGATCTCCAATGTATCCACGGTCGTCAATCCTCCTGCGAGTTCACGACCGTCCAATGTGCCTCCGTCTTTCAGTGGATCTCTTGGTGGTACTCCTCAGAAAGCGACTGTTGATGATGCTGCTCGACCCGATTTGCCGAAACCTTGCTCACCGAAGAATCGTTCATTCGCGGAAGGCTTGAACGCAGGAGGATCTAAACTTAGCAAGCTGGATGTTCCTGCTATATCGGATTTACCCTACAATACCGAGAGGTGGCGGTCGAGAGATCGTGCAGAAAGACCTGAAGCGCCTGATGGAGAGGTTCTTGGTGGTAATAAGTTCGGAAGAGTTGATTCCAAGAAACGGACAAAGATCCGCAGATAACTCGTTTGCTAAAGGGAACCGAGGTATGAATCTCCGGAAGAAGTTTGAACGTGGTACTCTTCGTGGAGGTCTGAATCGCCCACAGCACCTAACGCCCGACACATCTTGTCTACCCCCAACATTGGCTCCTCTTCCTTCCGAAATCCAACAGGAGGAAATTAAACGCAAACTGCCGGAAATGCCGAGCCAGGAGGAATCGGAGGTCACGAGCCAAAAGGTGACGAACACGCTCTTGTCCGCGCTGGGAATCGGGACCTCATCGTCTGTTCCAAAACCGCAGCAGCAGCAGCAGCAGCAACGACCGCAACAACAACAACACAACAACAACAACAACAGCAACAGCGGCCACCACCACAACATCCACCACCGCGAAGCCAAAATCATCCGTCGCCAAAACCCCAGCGTCAGGAGTCGCCTCCCCCACCAAAGTCAGCTGATCGACGTCAAGATCATCCTTCCTTCTCCGGTGGTCCCGGTGGTCGTGGTCCCCCTGGACACCCACCTGGGTTTCCTCCTGGTCATCCTCCACCACCAGGTTTTCCTATGCCCCCTCATCCGCCACCTGGTTTCCCACCTGGTCCACCTCCTCCAGGTTTTCCACCCTTTCCTCCTCCACCAGGTTTCCGACCACATTTCATGGGACCCTTCCCACCGCCATCTCGTCGTCCTGGCAACGCATCTCGAGACAATTGGCCAATTCAAAGAGGCCGAGGTAAAGGTGGCCGTCCTTATCGGTCACGCAATTAATCACCGCTACACATCGGGTCTCGGTTTGAAATTTTTCATATTTCTTTCACATACTAACATTATTCGCTAATCATAGAACATCAGCGAGATTTCTCTCGGCGCTCGGTTTCATTAACAAAGGGTAGCGCTGTATTTAGCCCACACGTTCTCGTCTTGAGTGCTGCATAGTCATCTAGGTAGTTGTCCTTGTCTGCTTTTGACATCGGCATTGCAAAATTCATTTTTCAGTATGTTTTCTCTCTTCATTCAATTCAGATCGTTAGTCCAGAGCGGTCATCGTTTTGGCCATTGAAACTGTTTCTATGTTGATATGTTGTCCATTTTTCCTATGTGATCGTGCTGAATGGTTTTTTCCATAAAGATATTGATCTACTCGCATATTCAGATGTCAGCAATTTTGGAAAGAGTTTCATGAAATTCTAATTTTCATCAGTTCCAAGAAAAATATCTCTCATAAAATTCTTCGAGAATCCTACTTATCCTTTCCTCCGTTTTGGATAAGGGCTACGCAGTGGTGCGACGGAATGCGCCCTCTCTGTCCTGGCACAAGGCCGTGATGAATCTAGTCGTCTGCGCTCTGCCAACGCCTTGGGGGCAGCGTTCAGACTCTGCCATAACGCTCGTCGACGCGCTACAATTGCAACAGCGCTCCAGTCCTTTAGACGCGAACGCAGCCGCAGAACGGAAATCCATTTGCGCAGACCGCTTGTGTTTTGAAGAGAGTAATGAGGAACAGGAGGGTATTAGGCTGTGAAGGCACCGCCTGCTCTCCTGTTATCCCATAGTCTCTCAAAACAGAAGCGGCCGGCGTCGATCGATTCACGTCTGCGGCTTTCACGTCTATAGACTTGGAGCGCTGTTGCAACTGTAGCGCGTCGCCGCGCGTGATCGCGAAGTCTAAACGCTGGGATCACTTGGTCGCGCCGCTGGGTGCCTCCTCTACTACAGTAACACAACATATTTTGAAAGTGCGTTACTTTACGCCAAAAACGAGAATTTTCTCCCTGTTGATTTTCCTATCCCTGGTCAATCACTTTTTTCTTTTTTCTTCCGCTATGCCTTTCCTCTGCTCTTTCTCTTTATCTCTGCATCATCAAAACCATTGCCTCTTATTGGTGCTATGTGAGAGGCCCACGTTGCGACAAACTAGCTAATATTCCTCGCTAGTTGACTCGACATATCGTACACATTTCCACACTGAATGAGGTCTTGGTGCGAATGTCGCACACGTGACCTTGCGTGCGAGATATTCGCACCAGTACTCAATTAAACGCTGCCGCAACGTGAGTCTCCCACGTCTTCGGTTTTCATTATATATGGTTTTTGATAAAAGTTTTCATGACAAAGTCGTCGCTTACGCCAACTACTCACTTCTGGCGTTTTGCTGCCGATCTGGTGATCTTCAGGCGATGACGCTTCTCACACGCACGTGAACAGACAGATTCATGTGATTCTATGAATAATTGAGTTCAATATAAATTGTTCTGTATTATTGAATTGAATGAGATTCATTTCAAGTGGTCATAGAGATACCACTATTACGATGCTATACTACTGTATTGGTCAATATGAAAGGTTACGGTAATCCATCTATTTGGATCCCGTGAAATTGCACTGGTTCATTCGATGTTCTCTGTATTCTGAGCGAGACGGTGCCTAAATTCATATTCTGTACTTTATGGGCATCGCTTGTACGAGAACTGATCAATCATTCTGCACGTGACTTCTGAAAACATTCAAATTCATTTCCAATGAAGTCACGAAAATCGCTCATTTTCCTCTTCAAATCTTTTGTGACTCAAAAAGTTGTCTGTTCGAGTCAGACTCAATTGTTCAAATCTCAGATGAACAAAAGCAATAAGATCTCTCCGCTGAGAGTGATCTTAACATATTTCGCACATACATTTTACTCTATTATTAACTTTCCGCACCGCATGACACACATGGTGTGTCATACATTTTTTCTTTCTGGGCTGTTTCATCCATTTGGCCATCTGTTTCATGATTTGACGTTATCAGCTTTCTGAACAGACAATACATATATCTCGTGTGAAAGGGGAAATCAGATGATTACTGATTGTTGATTTGGAAAAACGATAAAATGATGCGGAGATGTTCGCAGACCAGCGGTCTGCGGTGTGTTCAAAATTTCGACACCTTTCATTCTCTCAGGAAAGTACCACGTAGTTAGATGTTATTGGGCTCGAAAAGTAATGATCTATAAATCTACCTGAGTTGGAGGTATGTTAGCTTTCGAGAGGGCTGCTGCCACTCAGAAATCTTGGCTCTGCGATTCTGACTTTTATAAAGTCTTGCAACTGAATGCTGATAATATGACTGTTGAATGGTGTACAGCTCTAGATATGTGGTTTTTCTTAGGGCGGGGAGCAGGGCACATCGTTGTTGGGGAATCCCAATAGGGGGGGTCGTATTTGGGCTGGGAAAAATTTATTTTGATAGTTGATTTTTCTCGCTTCATGGACGTTGTAAAGGGGGGGGGGGGTCGTATTTGATCATTTTTGGGAGGGGGGGGTCGTATTTACGTTTTGGCGTTGTGGGAGTGGCGGTTGACTTTTGGTGATTTTCCTGTTTCACGTACTATATGCCCCCCCCCCCCCGGCTCGATTCGATGAGGAAGGACAGAGGGCTGGGAGGGGGGTCCTACCAACTCCCAAAAACAGGGGGGTCGTACAGGCTCGAACAAAATCCCCAACTAATGCTGTGCCCTGGCGGGGGGGGGCTGTGCTATTTGAAAAGTGGGCATTTTGCACTTCCGCTAGTTTCTTTTGTTAGATCCTGATCTGTACAAGATCTAGAATTCTCACCTTGGTGACAGCTATAGACTCTTACTGATTGTGATTGAAGCTCACGCTATTGCATAGCTCTACAAAAATATAGGAGACATAGGAAATGATCAATGGGTACAAGAAAAATGCTCCACCAAGCCAAAGTGCTCCTTTTGAGGTGGTCCAGGAGTTCTATGAACGAACGATTGTGTTGAGAAGTGCTTGCAGTTGGGCTACAGATAGATCAAAGCATGATATAGCACAGGAATGGGTTAAATGCCTGAATACTCATGACCCCAAGATTTTTCTTCAAGGCCAAATAAGCGCCCTCCCCCCGGGATCGAGTACGATTATGGTGATATGTTTGCAGAAAGCTTTCGTCAAATGCAGTCAAAAAATTCCAAGTTGGGACGGCGCAGGAAACCCGCAGAATTTTTCTCATGTATCTGGCTTGACAGTTTGTTGTGCGATGCGTTGAATCAGTTAACTCCTGGTATAAATGCCGCGTACGTTCCCATCTCTCCGTAACTTGTAGGTCTTGGGCCACGCGCTCTCGGGAAACCACGAATCTTTGCAAATGGTACTGATTTTGATTTCCTGGTAATTTTCTGGTTTCCATTAGCACTTTCTGAAGCACAACAATCTTGGTGCGTCTCAACAGGGCTTCAGTTCATCCTCATTTCTGATCCATCGATCGCTCCATATCGTTAATATTCCGACTGGATCAAGGTTTAAGAGCGTAGTATCTTGCACGAGACCTTCCAGTAACATTTTGTGCCGTTCGTCTCCGAACAAAGCTATCTCTTGATAATCAACGATAGGGACTGAACTCTGGACCTTCGAGCCTGATCTGGGAGCTGAAGTTGTTACTGCGTAGCGATACATTCCCGTTCATAATCGACCGAGAAATGAACACAGGTTTAAGGTAGATTGGACTCTGTTGTTACCAATTCCTTTCGTTGTCCTTGAGTGCACCTGAGGGGATAATTTTGCCCAGGTTGAAAGGCGTCCATTAGCAGAAAATACGCCTCAGAGACGATGGCAGTGATGTTGAAATGCTTTGGCGAACATTTACAATTTTGTTTTGCTATCATCACTGCTTCTTCTGCGGGTGATCTATTTTCTCATTCAAGTAATCAGTCACGAAAAGATAAGGATCACAAGAGGCCGTGCTATCGGTCAATCATCGATCAGTGTACAGGGTCCTGCGTAGGCTCAACCCAGTACATATCATTGTTTCAAACGCTTCATGAATTCGCTTTAGATAGGCTGTTGTAATGGTTCGAATTTCCAGTGTTTTCCAGTAAAAATTCTAGCAGTTCTCTTTTGAAGTTCTCTGAGGCCTTTCTAATCCCTCTGGAAAAGATCTTTATTGTCCCCTTGTGCTCTACGATACTTGGGTTTCAATGAGCAGAGCAGCGCCTTATCAATCGACCCCCCCCCCCTCTGAGACTTAAGAGCCTTAATCTTCATCCTCAACTATTTTTTGTTTCTTTTCTGTTGTCTTTCATTTTTTCACTTCTCCACGGCACCTTCAGTGAAAAGGTACGTTCGGCGGTGTTCCGCGACGGGAGGGGAACATTTTGCACTTTCGTTGCTTCACTAGTTTCGGTTTACAAGTCTCACTCTGGTGAAACCTGTGAACTCTTGAAGCTGGAGCAAGCTCGTCAAGCCATCATGGTAAAACCTGTCAACTCGAGAAGAGGCTGTCTAGATGGGTCGACACGTCGATGGGAAGTAGCAAAGTGCAAAATGCCCCCCCCCCCGGCGCAGAACTGCGCCGCTACATTGTTATCGTTAGAATGACTGTGCCCTGGGCTATGGGTATGTTTTCCCTGCTGTTTTCTTCTACGAAACACTTGCTGGCCACTTGCCATGAGAAGTCGATTTCATATGAATAAAGATGAATTTCATTTGAAAACTCGATGGTAGCCGGTATGCTCTTCAACGCTTCCATATCACGTCGTTCTCTCAACTGGGGCATTTACTGGTTTTTGTAGCAGAGCTCGCGCTCTCCAAATGTGGCTGAGGAGGCTTCTTGAGAGTTGCCTGTTGAATTGCCCTCGCTCACTTGCGGCAGTTTCTTCTATTCGAACTCTTCCTTTTATCAGCGTGCTCACGTCTACTAAACGTTGACTTCTCTGCATTCATTTCACTCACTTTTCCTTTCCCAGTACCC